ACGATATCCAGGTCCGAATAGGTAGGCATGCCTCTGGGAGGGCGGGGTAGTCTTGCTGCCCGGCGAAGCAAATCCACCGACAGCTGAGTGATTGAGCAGAAAGCCGGTGCTGGGAGCAGGAAGAGGTAGGTAGAAGGTCCATGGTAGCATATGGATCAGCCATAGCCTGAGCTCGAAACAGGGAGGAGGAAGACGGCCAGCCATACACACCGGCGCCATCTTGGGCAAAGTTACCCCATTCTGGCTCCTACCTCAAAGCACACTGTGCGCTGTCGATCTTACGTGCTGCACAATAATGTTTAATATTTAGTATTTAATGTTACATTCCCATAGATCATTGTGATGTTGTTTATTATATTGCTCTTTTTTTTCTGCTTGTTTTCTCTTTTTTCTTTCTCAACAGGTGATCCAGGTGATTGATAGATGTATTTTTTGTCTGCTTATTTTGTTGGTTTTTGTTTTTTGCCCTTTATCCCCGTCCCTCTTCTCAGCTGTTTTTCTTTCCCTTTCTTTCTTTTCCCCAGTCAAGTCTGTCCCGTATTTAACAAGTGAAAATAAAATAAAATAAACAATAAAAGGTGAATCAAATAGACCATTATGGCAAGGCTGGGATGGTCCATTTGTTAAAGCAAATCCGTTGGGCATCTTTCTTCGCCATTTTCGATTCTGTTTAACGATTCGATTCTTTATCGATTCTTTTAAAAAAGGAGAACACTAAGGTCGATTAGCTCAGAACTTTGTTTTATATCTTCTCTTTGAACAAGATAGAAATTTAGCAGTAACATGGCCTTACAAACCCAACAGTGAGATCTTAAGAGATCCACAGCCTACGGCTCTTCAATGGGTCACAGGGTCCCCAGGAAAAAAATATTGTAAATGTAAAATAATAAAATAAATATTTTTCTGTAGCAATAACAAAGTATAACATAAATTATTCTGTAGCAATTACACAAGAATATCCTGGCCTGAAAAGGAGACGCTACGGTAGACTGCAGCGAGAACTGCCAGCATCTGAGCCAGACTCTGTCTCATCATGGTCACCTAAACGCACAGTAATGGCAGGTTTTGTAATAAGGCAGATCGCGCTAACATAATATGCACTGTTAGTTGATTATTTACCTGCCGCATTAACGGGAGAGGACGTGCAAACGTTACCGCTGCTGCTGGGTTGAGATTCACGAGTCCGGAATTAAAAACACGACATTCATTTAAGGTCATCGTGTGTTTTGTGAGCAAATGCTTTTGCATATTCGTAGTGTTTCCTCCCTTAAATGAAATATCTACTTTGCAAGTATTGCAAGTTGCCCTGTTGTCATCTGTTCTCGTAAAGTGTAACCAAACTTTTGAGCGTTTGAGCTGCTTAGGCGCCATGCCAGTTAAATGACGCTCCGCAACGTGGTGACGTCTTTCGGGGCGACTGGAATTGTTTGTTAAAATGGCAAACAATTCCAAGGAATTGAAACAGCGGGAACCGGTTCTCAGCAAGAACCGGGTTTTGATACCCATCCCTACAAAAGAGCCAAACGGGACAGGCAAAAAAAAAAAAAAGACATGCAGGAGTTGCTGCAAATACATGGACATAACTCCGTAATTATAAGAGCTAGAGAGCTCATTCTTGCACTGTTTTGATAAGAGCAGATGTGGTAATGTTCAAATGTTAACAATCTGTAATGAAAACAAAGGTTAAAGATAACAGGTAGAACTCGAACCTGCACCACCTGCTCTCAGAATGCCTTTTTATCCACCTAGCCAGCTAAACACACTTTAAAAACCACACTATAAAGGAAATGGATAAGAAGCAAAGATTGCCTTTTCTTGCTGTTACAAAAATTTCTGTAATTTAACATTTCATGGACAAACATCATATCAGTGATTTTCTGGTCTCTGTGTAAATCCATCTAGGAGATATGACAAGAGAAAAAACAGCTTCATTTCCAGAGTTTCAAATCTGAGAGAAGGACAGATTTCCCACTCTGGAACGAATGTAATTCATTGCACAACAGTAAAAGGTATCACAGAAATTCTTTCACCGTGAGCATCAGAAGTGTCTGAAAATGTATTGGCTCATTTTTCTACATCCCACGGTTTAGGAGATATGATGAGTTGAAAATGCCTCCAGTTACAGAATTTCAGCTCTGATTTTCACCTAAGTCTCCTTAGACTTTGAATGGGGAGTTTTCCAACTTTGTGCTGCTGTACTGGATTAAAACATTCCCAGCAGGTGGGATATCCAATCTTTGAGTGATGGCCTGATGAAACCTGCTTCTGCCTCCAAACTACTCTGCATTTAATAAGGCTGTTGTGTTTTTAACATGTTTTAATGCTTTTTATTCTGTTTCTGCTATTCTGTTCTATTTAATCTGAACAAGTCCCTAAAAAAGTCAGTGATCACTGTTGGCCTCTCTCATTTTTTAACAATACTATTCATTTTAAAGCTTCTGGACTCACTGACGGCATCTCCCACGCCCCCGTCCCGATTCTCCCAGGAGCCTTAAACTTATCGATGGTGGCTGGGATCGCGGCTGTGTTTTTACCTTTAGTGTGACAGCGCCGTGATGCCTTTGCAGTTTTGAGGGCCAGGGAAACGAGCCCACCAGCACTCTGTAGTGGCCGCAATTGCTGACGATAAGGAAAGGCTGCTCTTTATAGAGGACTCATGCTCAGGGAGACATTTTCTGGTTTACTCGGCTCCCAGAAGGGCTTTGGAACTCTCGTGTCATCTTTGCATGCCTCCTCAATGATATATTATTTAATCTTTAAAAAAAAATTGGAGATTTCCCGCATACCACCAGAGAGAGCCCAAGTACCACTAGTGGTACGCGTACCACCATTTGAGAAAGACTGCCTTAAGGCATTCACCCCAATATCTGTAAAGAGAGGACTTAATATGAAACATTATATTAGAACAATCAATGCAGTAAAAACTGCTGAAATTATTTAGACTCCAGTCCACCAAGCCAGATCTGTGACATATTTTGTGACACTGAGAATTTCATGAACTATCAAGGATATTAGCACATGTAGATTAATTGCTTTCATCATTAGGCTACATATCAATCTGCAGATCTCTCTGCAACTGTTATATAATTTAACAGTGTAGGGCACCAATAAATTAAATGCAAAGTTTGTATTCAACAGCGGTTTAATAATGTAAAAAGTAATTAATATGTAAAAGACAATTAAAAATAACGTGGTATTTTTTTTCATATGCTTCAAAAATGTGTACATATAATTTACAGCATTACAAAATATTTGCTACTCTAGCAAGATCAAATGTGAAATCAGAGTAAAAATCACAAGATCAAACAGAGATAATATCATTACATTTTAACTTTGATCGTGGCCACGTGAAAATAATTCCAATATGCATGTTAGTTATTTTCAGTTAAAACCTTTGACACAGTAGAATTTCATTAACACTAGAGCCAACTAACAATTTTAAGTGCAATTTTTTGGAGACCTTTTTAATTAGCTGTAAATATCAAAGAACACAGCCAGGAATGGCTTTTAGGTCAAATTTCATTTTCACTGAATTATGTGAGGAAATGATGAAAAACCTGGTACTGCTTCAAAAATGTCTTTGTAATTTATAATAATAACCCTTTGGTTTTCATCACTTGTGGAGTTTTAGATGTTCATATGACAGAACTTCAATATGCACATTATACACTGTGAAAAAAATACACATAACAGACATTGCTTATCTATGTTACCCACAAACAATTACGTATGTATGCACTCATTATTCATTCACTGGTAGGTACAAAAAGATCTAGTGCTGAGGAAATAAGGTATGTCACTGTTCGACACATTTCCTGTCTGTGATTTTCGAAACGATTTTCGAAATGAAAATCCATATTCTTATGTTTCTTTCATGTTTCACTTTTGACACATGCTATGGAAAGTTTATATGCTTATATAACAATCATTTTTTCAATCAATCACTTCTGTGTACATCTGTTGCAGTGTCTTCTGCTTGGTCCTAACCTGAAACACAATCACATTATTTTAGCAGCGGATTCAAATGTCTACATTCATGGGAGCATGGTTGGAGACAGATTCCACATTGATATGTACTCTCTGGATTCAACTGAGATTCTCCACATCTCTGTTTCACAGATTAAACACTTTGTATTTCAACACACATGCAGCATAAGTGTTCAGAGTATCACTGCATTGCACTGGGTTGATAAAAAAATATCGGTTAAATTATCTTTAAAGGGAGCATGAAGTGGGAGAAAGTGCAGGCAAAAGGAGATATTCCACCAGGAGTAGCTGCCCACTCAGCTGTCGTGCTGGGTAAGAACATTTACATGTTTGGAGAGATGACAGCAGATGGAGCAAATATACAGATTTAACACCGGTACGCTACCTTTAAGCCAGTCATTATTTTTGTTTTGTGAACCCTATATAAATCTAGTATTTTAGTTCTTTACATACATCTAAGCGTGACTTTTTAAAATATTTTCTGTTTTCTGGAATTCAAAGCAGCTCTACCACCAAAACATCTTGACCACCCTATGTGCATATTTGCCTGGACAGTGTGTGATGAGGGGAATCCAGAAGAGGAGAAAGCCAACAGACTGGCACTGTCTAAGGCAATAAACCTGTTATTTGTATTGGTAAATGGTCTGGTTCTTATATAGCGCTTTTCTGCTCTATATGAGCACTTAAAGCGCTTTACACAACTTGTACATTTACCCAAGCACTTTTTTCTAAGCTGTATCTAATTTCTCACTATCTAGCATCCACACATAGATGCATCATGAGCAACATGGTTTTAGTATCTTGCCCAAGGATATTTGGCATAGGTGACCTGCTCTACCACCTCAGTGCAGCCACACACTGAAACTTATTTTAAAGGCTTTCAGGAAATTCAGTATGGTCAGTTGTTATCGTCAGCTCCTTCCCAACCACTCCTCTCACAATTTGAGTCCCGTCAGTCCAATATGTAGACCAACACGCCAGATATCCAAGGAGTGATAAGACTTCAGACCTGTCTACAACTCATCCTTCTCATTTTGCTTACTGCCCACTGCTGGTGGAGGACCTGCACTACCACAGATAATGGACTGAACCACCTCCTCAAGTTCCTTCTTCTTGGCCTGGAAGTCATCCAGGTCAGCATCTTGGTGGGACTCTAACCACTCAATCTTCTCCTCCACTGCCTTCTCAATTAATTCAATCTGGTTCTTCAGGGAGTATGCGTAGCCCTCGAGCTCATTGTGAGCATCGATCCTCTCCTTCAGCTTCTTGTCTTCCTCAGCAAAGTGCTCGGCGTCGTTCACCATGCGTTTGATGTCCTCAGGTGTTAGCCACTTCTGGTCAGTTGTGATCTTTTTCTTGTTTCCTGTGTCCTTGTCCTCAGCAGTGACACACAAAATGCCATTGACATCAATCTCAAAGGTGACTTCAATCTGCGGTACACCACTAGGAGCAGGGGGGATGCCAGTCAGGTCAAAAGTAGCCAGGAGATGGTTGTCTTTAGTCGAAGGATGCTCACCTGAGAAAAACAAACAAACAAACAACACAAACAAACAAAAAAAACCCAGTCACAATTAGACTTCTGGAACATTTAATTCCACTGTCACATGTTTCTTGTCATTGGGATCTTTTTATAAAACACTGTATTGGAACTTGAAAGAACAATATCCTAACTCTTACCTTCATAGACTTTGATGGTGACAATAGGCTGGTTATCAGAGGCTGTAGTAAACATCTGGGCTTTTTTGGTGGACACCACGGTGTTCCTGTGGATCAGCTTGTTCATTACTCCTCCAACAGTCTCAATGCCAAGGGTCATGGGGCACACATCCAGAAGAAGCACATCACCTACAAGTGAAGGAAAAGTAAACAGCATCACATTTGAAATCTTAACCCTATTAAATAAAATATTTCTAAGATTCATGACTAACCAGTGTCCTCTCTAGAAAGCACACCAGCCTGCACAGCAGTTCCGTATGCCACAGCCTCATCAGGGTTGATGCCTCTACATGGCTCTTTGCCACTGAAGAACTCCTTCACCAGCTGCTGGATTTTGGGGATACGAGTGGAGCCTCCAACCAGGACAATCTCATCAATGTCAGACTTCATTAACTTAGCATCTTCCAACACTTTCTGTACAGGCTTCAGGGTGGACTGGAACAGGTCCTGGGTTTTAAAGAACACACAAGTTAAAAAGCTTGTTCAACTGCTTTTCCTATTGGGTTTGATACGCAATTAATCAACCAAATTAATATCTTACCATGTTCAGCTCCTCAAACTTGGCACGAGTCAGGGTCTCAGAGAAGTCTTGTCCCTTAAAGAAGTACTCGATCTCAATGTGGGTTTGGTGCCGGGCAGATAGCGCCCTCTTGGCCTTCTCGGCCTCGCGACGCAGCTTCTGCACAGCACGGTTATCTTTGCTCACATCTTTGCCAGTCTTCTTCTTGTACAGCTCGATGAAGTGCTCCATGATACGCTGGTCAAAGTCCTCACCTCCCAGATGAGTGTCACCATTGGTGGCCACCACTTTGAACAAACCGTTGTCAATGGTCAGAATAGAAACATCAAAGCTGCCACCGCCCAGATCGAAGACAAGAATGTTCTTTACTCCATCCTTCTTGTCCAGGCCATAAGCAATACCAGCAGCAGTTCTGAAGAATACAGTGAGAATTTATTGTTAGAAGGAAGGGCAGGGACATTATTTTGCAGTTTCAAATTGCAGATGACCAAATTCAATTTTTGACTGGATGTTTACGCCTCATTGATGATTCGCATAACATTCAGACCAGCAATGGCACCAGCATCCTTAGTGGCCTGGCGCTGGGCATCGTTGAAGTAGGTTGGGACAGTGACCACAGCATGTGTGACCTGAGGAAAAAGGATAA